AAAAAAAAAAACTCGCTGCTTAAAATGAACACCTTATTGTTTTATTAAATATGGATTAAAAACTGCTTTGTTCTTCAAAATATCTTTAGTTTACAAGAATTTAATTTTGCTGAATAGAAACACACTACAAGGAACACAGAAACCTGTAAGCTTAAAATACATCTACCAAAAAGCTAGCTGCTCCAAACCAGACTATTTCAAGGTGCTGTGACTTTAGAAGAAAGCTGGTTTACATTATCGGCACGTCTTCTCAACATAGTAAAGAACAAGCTTTTTAGGGCAAGAATGTTTCATTCTAACACATTCTTTTATATTGTAATACCAACAGAAGTTACTGCTACTTAGACTGTTACTAAGTTCACGTGTTCTTTTATACTGCATGTCAATTTGAGCAATTGTCTGTCTGTAGAAAATTAATAAAATGCAACAATACTGACGTAGAAGTCTTACAGAACCTAATTATCTAAAACCTCCAGTGCTCTGGATCTGTTCAGAACCGTGTAACAAATTTGCAAACTGCAAGTTGTTTTTTTTAATAATAACATTACTTCCAAGTTAAGCAGGCAGCATATTCAATAACACTGCTTTGATTTTCAAAATACTGTGTTCGTCTGTATCTACATACGTGAGGTAGAACACAAGCACCAGAAACATGGCTAGCCAAACAAAACACCTTATAAGATGTTATCCGTCCTCCAAAGAAACCGTATGTTAAAACTAATTCCAACTCATCACATGATGACTAAAATACTGATTTTGCAGGGGTAGAAATCTGTATTTGAGACCTTCTTCCTTCTTACATAGATACGAAACGATGCTGCTATCTCAAAAGAATATACATCTCCGTTACAGAAATGAAAGCACTACCAAAAACCACACCATGACTGTGGTGAGGGACTGGAAAAAATGCAAGAGTGAAATGTGTTTGTTACTGCATATACACGCTGTATGATACTATGTTATCCTGCCTACAGAAACATAATGGCACTTCATGAACCCTGTGAACTCTGTGCAGAGGTCAGATCTTTTACACAGCAGAATTTGAAGAACTTTAGAGCAAATTCAGGTGTTTGTTGTTGGTTTGGTTTTTTTTTTTCCTCTGTATTTCTATCCCAGTTGCCAACATTCAGCTTCTGACTTTTCCACTAGCAACAAAATACCAGAAGCTGTACGGTACGTCACGAAGCAGGTGTCCCAAGTATGCTGGACAAACCTACTGACACAGCAGGAAGTCTGCTTATGTCTGTGGAACATAAGTCACTTCTGTCAGCATTAGGAAATTGCACCTAAATTAGTAAACATCTTTTTTAAAGGCAACATCCAACAAAGATGCAAAGAGTGGAATAGCAATCTGTGAGCACAACAGGAAACAAAAATGCATTCAGGTCCTCCTACTCCTCCTGATGGATGACTGGACAGAGGGTCTTGGTCAGGTCAATTTTATCATTTTGGTTGTCATAGAGCCATCAGACTTGTGGGATGGTCATCTAGAACTCATTTTAATCGTGTGTTTGTAGACACGCTGCCTTGGGCAAACACGGTAGTACGCCTGAATGTGTTTCTTTAAAAAATTCTTTGTAAAATATGTACTGCACCTACCTTGATGAGGTAGAGACGTATCGATCTCTACAATAGATATATATGTATGTTTTCATATCTATATTTAAACACAGCCCAATTTTAAATCTATTTACATCCACAAACTCAGAATTTTGTAGGTCTTGGGTATACAGTTTTAAGATGCACGTGTGCTCTTCTCATTACACGCCCTGTGTGCACAAGTGTTAGAATATTCAAACGCGTCCATGTACTTGGTTTTGCACTTGTGTTTGCATAGGATGAATGCACTTAAGCACTAACCCCACAGTACCATAGAGATGTAAACTTGCAGGATCCAAAACCTATTGTGTGCATATCCACAACAGCAGACTTTGATAATTTGTCAAAACCTATACATAAAAAAAAAAAAGAGAAAAAGAGAGAAGCAAGAAAACTGCATGAAAAAAAAAAAAAAAGAAAAAAGAGAGAAGCAAGAAAACTGCACGCACACCACTATGTGAAGTTCAGTGGTGTTTTTTTCAGAATATCAGATGACAAATGGTATGCCAGAATGAAGTATTTAATCTTCAAGTCCAAGTTTTTTGCAAGTTACTCACAAATTGAGCATATTCATTTTCAGTGGAAATGTCTTTAATATGAATGCTTTTTTGTAAATTCTAATGGTTTTGTTCACATAGATTGAAATGTCAAAACAGCAAATGCCAAAATATTTGAAAAAGGGTTCAATTTTGCTAGAAAATAAAGTCAATTGGCAGAGTCAAGTATAGTTAATACAGGATTCTAGATTATCCTAGGTGGAAGATACGTGTACTCACACTAGAACTTTCAAGCAATTTCATGTTTCCTTCCTGTTAGTGGAATATTTAGCTAGCCCTAAATATTAATTATCTCAGTTGGTGACAAGTAAAAAAATCCCACGCTTCTGAAATCAGAGTGAATTATTCTTAAACACTAGTATCAAGATTACAATCACTGTTTGCATTTTGCATATGAACTATAGATCACTGAAAGTTTCCTGTTGCACTGCAGCAAGAAAAGGAAATGTAACACAAAAGCTTAATTTGCTGCAAAGTACAGCAAGATACTTCGGTAATCTCACAAAAATTTCATACTGGAACTTGTTACAGTGAGTTCAGTTTGATCTTTTAATGTAATACAGTACATTTTTATAAACTTAACATTATCATTGCAGAAGAGCATGCTAACAGAATGTTAGCAATTTATCTTTTATACATAATTATACTCTACTGTAGCTACTGTATGCAGATCTCAAAATGTTAGTACATAAAATATTCATTTTCTTTATGAGATGAGAATGAACTTAGAAGAGGTCTGAATATAAGAATGAAATATTTGCTGTGCCTGTTTCTCAAGAAATAATGAATTACACATTATAACCCAAGAAATCAACATTTAAATTGCAAAACTATAGTTTAAATTTACATTAAACATTATGATCAGTAATGTGCATCAATATTCGATGAAGTTTAACCTAACCATGTTTATGCACATAAAGCCTCAAGAGTCTGCAGCAGTTTCAGCATCAATTTTTCATATTTTTGTATAAAATGGACTTAAAGGTACATCTTCCATAAACGTTTTCAGTGCAATTCTGTCAAAGAGGAAAATATAAAGCTAGGTTTCGATCATTTTATACCATAAAAAAAACCCAACAACTTGTATTTGCACTGCTGAAGTGTAAGTAAGCCAGTTCCATTGTGCCAGCTATTTCAAACCCAATTTAAATCAACCATAATTGCTTTTTTTAGGCAGCATTTCCACCATATCTATAGGTGTAAATGTTGAAAAGCTGAATACTGGAGGGGGGTAGGAAGTTAAGCTGAGGCAGCATAATCTAATTGTTTATAATACCTTTTTCATTGGTAAAAAAAATGTGTAATGAAAAAGTTCTAAAAGTTTCTTTACTAGTGATCTTACAGTTTGTAAATCAGTAAAGCCATGTTTTAGTATGATCCTTTCCTCTAATCTTTACAGGCCACCTTGCAACTGTAACTTATGTATCAATGGATTATATGAAAATGCTCCGTTATTCAATGAGCTAAAGTATTCTTAAGTTAGAAACTGATTTTTTCACATGTTGTCAACTGTAGGGAACCAGAGGGAGAACAGCACCTGAAATTATAATATGTGCTTGGCTAAGCATAGTGTAGTAACTATACATTTTGGTTCAAAGACACAGTTTGTAAACTGTAAAACTGCATACAGGATACTGCTTTAAGTATTTTGTTTCTTTTTTTTTTTTTTTTTCAGATTATAACTAAAAAAAAAAAATCCAAAAATGAACCTCTCTATGATAGCACAAAATAAAAATGGAGCTTCATTCAAATCTTGAATACCTTGACTGCAATAATCAACAGCTCATTATTCAACAAAAATTTAGCTCTTCATACCAAAAAAATTTGGCTCAAAAAACAAAAACAAAACAAAAAGGTATAATAAACTCTCAATAAAAAGTTCTCTCAGGAGGCAACCTACCATATACTACTGCTAGATACGAGTTTCCAAAAAAACATTACATCCCATTTTCAGCACATTTTTCATAAACATGCAACTTCACTATAAAATACAAAACACTTGGCTCTCAAGAACAGCTTTATAAAGACACACTGCATCAATAAAATTTTTCTTTGTGATTAACTTTACATTGTAATAAGAACTGTATTTTCACTAATGTTTATATATCAGATTTCATATTATAATGTAGTAATAATTTGCTCTTTGTGAACATCATGTTCAGAAGGAAATATCTATACACATTAACATACTAGACTATTAAAAACTCAGTTACAGAATTTTATTGATACAGTAGATTAATAAAAACTGAGAGGGGAAGATAAAATGGGTAGGGTATTCAGTACATTATTTAATAACACACTTTTAAAATTAAAATATTTTAAATCCTTTTTGAATTTTCAATGCCACTAGAAGTCCAGAAAAGTCTGGCATCAATACTGAGGTGTAAAACAAGTCAAACAACTTCTTTCACAATTTGCATCTCTTGTATTATTCTATGCAACATTGTTCAACTGTAAAAGAAAGTAATTTAGCACCTCTGATGATAGGTAGGTGCCTAAAGGTAAACACCAGGTTAGATTCATGAAGGAAACAAAGACCTTTGTTTTTTTTTCCTTCTTCTTCTTAACAAATAGTGGCAAAAGAAAGTGGCACTATTTGTTTAACTGATTTTTTCTTTTTTCACAGTTAAATGTCAACAAGAGTACAAATACGAACACTGACAGATATTGCTTGAGATCAATTTTCAACAAACTGTTCTTTTTTAAATCAATAGATCCAATAAACAGTGGGGTACTGTCAGTTTAAAGCCGCAGATAAAAGCTATACAAGCACTTTAGAAGTCAGAAACATTAAAAAAAGAACTATTTACAGTTTTCTTCTTTAGTTTGTATGTCTACAAAGCCAGCGCACATTACACTTCACAAAAATCCACAGTTAATGATATCAACGTGTGTGGCTAAAGCTTGTGACCTAGGGACTGCAAATGCAGGGGCAGTAAAAGTAAAATAGGTTTTGTCTTTTTTTCAGCAACCCCATTTGTGCACTAACAGCTTCATTCAGTCTCAAGCTTTATATTAAAAGCATTCTTCAAAGCTTTCACCTGGAAGCCTGATAACTACATGCTCACTCATCGCCTTTCCCTTTTGGAAGTTCTGCGACGGACCTGTTTGAAGAAAAAGTATTTTAAATGTTTTTACCGAAAAATTTTGAAAAATTCAAGAATATATGTATTTGATAATGGAAAAATGCTTAGTCTCCCAATAATGTTTAAGTAACTGTATATAGCGTCGTTCATTACTCGTTTTATCACAGGTACAGGTCTCAGTCAATGACTAGGACATAATTTTGTTTGATGTTACTAAGCCTGTGTCCTTCAAGCATTCTCTAGTTTCCTTTTTCAGACACTCAGATGCTCCAATCATCAGATGTGTCCAAAAGTGTGAAGCCATTCAGTTACATTTTTAGTAATACTAACATATTTGTATGAAATAAATATAAAATAAACTTATTTTAATGTATTTGCATATGCTGGTAAGAGAAAGAAACTGGTTTAGGATTCTGCTCCAAGATTCAACTTATTTTCCAGTACTATTCATTTTGTGTTCCTGTTTTGTGTAAAGTAACATTATTCACTATTATAATTCAGCTGAGAAGAACGGGCATGAGTTACCTGGAAAAGTAATTCCCATGAGGCACTACACAACTCAAGCAGACAGATAACAAAAGTTATACAGAACAGAAATTTTAAGATGCTTGACAAAAACTGGCATTTTCTAAGAAATGCAGCTTCTCTGGAAAGCTCCAGTGCAGCACCACTACACAACGGCGGCAGCTGACAACCACCTCGTTCATTTTAAAGAAGGAAGGTTAAGTACTAAGAACAGGAGAAGTCATTCTCTGAACATCAATACACAGAGGACACCACAAAAGCTCACAAAGAAAATCTCAGGTATTTCTCTTACATTGATTGTGGAAACTTCCTCTTCTTCCATTGCTTCTTCCTGGGGAACGTCATCACTGACAGGTGAACTACTCTGAAATACGTCCATCTCTTCACTAGATTCATTCTCTTTACTGGCTGCTTGTTTGGAACGTCCTGCACGGCTACAATCAGAAGAAAAATAAAGATCAGTTTCACAGAACATGGGTCTGCACATGTATAAACCATATGAGAGCAAATGTTCTACGTTACAAGAACAGCAGCCTTAAAATTCTGTATTACATCATACTTCTGTTTTATATACCTATCTAGTTCATCCATACACAGAATAGAAGAAGTGGAACTAGGAGGCTGGACAACAGCATTTGAAAACCAAATTCTTCCAGAACAGAGGAGTACAAAGTTGAACAATTTTTGCCTCTATAGACAAGACAGATTTTTCTCTTCAGTGCCAGAATGCAGGCCAAAGAAGGTCGACACAACAGTAACCAGTGAACAGGAAAAGCCAAACAGCCAGAGACTGAATACTTGGGCTTTCTTTCCCCTCTATTCAATTCCATGAATAAATGTACTCTACTTCTACAGGAGTTTATATACAACAAAATTTGAGTAACTGCATCTATGTTTTTCCAGACCTAGAAGAACCCATGTTGCTATTTAAGAAATTAACACTATAATTAACCTAAACACAAATCTTCCAAGCTAGCTCATGCTAAGAGCTAGGGATAATTGGGATAACAATACCTTAATCAGGATAATCAGGAAAAATCAGTCAACATCATCTTAAATTGTCTGTGTTAGCCATGGGATCTGAACCACAAGCAAAAAGCATCCATTTGCTTAAAATGAGAACTAGTCCCCCTACATCTTAAAAAAAGAAAAGCCAACAAGGTATGTATCCAAAACTAGACAGCTGCACCTGCGTTACCACTTTGGTTTGGATTGGGTCATTAGCACAGCTCAGGATCAGATCACTGAATCACCTCACTTACTGCAGATGCAGTCTTGGTGCACCCAAACTAGGTGACTTTTTGGATTAAATTAAACCGGAAACTCTGTTCTAGGCAGACAACAAACACCCAAGTGGGGCCATACAGATCCAAAACTGTCCTCTGACAGCATCAAACCACACGTGGCAGGAGATTTCAATCCTGAGAACCACACTAAAATCTGCACAAAGTAAAATCTCTGACTTGCATACAGTAATTACAGTACAGTGAGGGTTTCAGCACCAAACAACATGACATCCTTTGAGAAACAACACAAATTAGTCCAACTCAAGCCTTCCAAGACTAATAGAAGAAACAGAGTTGAAAAGGAAACAGATGAATTATTCACAAGCTAGGTTCATCTTTTGACGTATTACAAAAATAAGACAGTTCATGTGCGCTAATTGGTAACCCAATTAGCTATCAGAAACGGGTTATACACTATCACCTCATAGATAAAATCCCAAATTCTCATGTCAAATCCATTCCCAAGAAGTCCAGAAAGCTTTAAGCATTTGAATTAAATAAATATATTCTATCTTGTGGTACAGAGTGCTGCTCAGTCTATCAGCTCTCTTTAGTTCAAACTGCTGTAGATACGCATCTACAACAGGGAGAAACGTCTGACTACAATGCACTTCGAAGACTGAAGAATTACTGTGGTCTCCCCTTTTTCTTGCAGATTTGGAAAAAGGACAGTCAAAATTTGGGCAGTCTGATCACAAAAAATAAAACATACACACAATATTTATTTGGATTAAATGTAGACTAGACCCAACAGCTCTGAACCCTGGTACAACTTACCTGGGCTCCTTGTGCGAGGAATGATGTACGTACACATGAATGAGAGCTATGCCTGTCACTGATCATGTGTACTGATACACTTTACCTCATTTTAAACAGAAGGTAAAGAAACACGAAGTTCACTGACTTCACTGAGAAGTGAATCAGAAGCTACCGAAATATTTAGTAAAGGGCATCTTTGACAAATGCCACATAGCACATGGCCCAACAGTAACTTATCGACATGTCTTCTCTGCATGGCCATAGTAGTTTCCAACTCCTTTTCCACTGCACATATAGCAAGCAGTGACTTCCGTAGTAACCAAGACAGTGTCGGGACCTGTGTTTCTGGTTACAGAGTAAAGGAGCTGGAGAGGTCTGATCTGAGGTAGGGAAACAGAACACTGGAAAGGTCGGGATATTGTACGTGGAAAATGCCAGAACACGTGATCCAGTGTGAAACTAGAATTTGAATTGAGGGTATGAGCTTGTTCAGGCAAAAAGATCTCTGGTATGGAAGATCTCCAGGGGCAGGTAAATTGGCACATTAAACTGCCAGAGGAAGATCAGCACAATGCTAACTAAGCCCAGAAGCCAGAAAAACAACAGAGTAATACGAAATGCCAGACTGAAGACGTGCATAAGTAGTGCGTAGGGAATTTATCATGAGGTTCTGGAAGAGTATCTTGCAAATCTGTTCCAAGAGCTGCAGTTTGATACCAGTGGGCAAATAAGTCCTGTCCACTTGTACACCTCTGCTTTACATGTATTGCATACACATGTACAGAAAAGGTAGGGATACCTGTCGTTTCCTATGGTAGGCACAAGAAAATGAAGCTATCCAGAGAGTTTACCTTTATTTTGGAGTTTAATACAACACAGAATTTTCAAGAGCTACTATCCTTCATAGATTGTAGCACATTTTATTCATCCGGAAATTATTCAAGTGGATAACAAGAAGGCCACAAATAAGAAAGTAAGTGAACATTAATTTAAGGAGAATCAGAACACACTTAATTCTCCACAATACTGTTTCAGTATTGTAACAATTTGATTCTTCCTCCCTATCCAAAATAAATGGGAGCACGTTTCATTCCTTGAAGTCCTAATAAAGCCCTATCTTCAAGGCCCTCATGTGATTTATTGACTTTTCTCCTAGAAGAGCAAAGCTACGTATATGCTACCTGAGCACATTAAACTTACTCGTAGCCTCTTGCTCTGGTTTGAGATACTCTAGGAGAAGCAGCTAGGGAAAACATTTTAGAAATAACAATGGCAATTTATTTTCTTAACTGTCAATTAAAGTATTCTGAAATATTTTCAGTAAATTACTGATTGGGGGCACAGAGGCATATTTTTAATTCTCACTAAACACAAATTTAGAAAATATTCACCACTTACACTTTTTTTTGCTGTGATGGTGGTGTTTTTGATCGCCTTCCTCGTCTTTTCTGTGGCGTAGACTGTGCTGATTCAACTGTACTAGTTTCAGATGGTTCTGCTCTGTTTTGAGGAAGACCCAAATTGCAAAGTATCAAATTATAACTAATGTCCAAGGATAAAAAAGATGCAGCTTACAAGAAGATGGACTTACCTCTGCTGTGTTCTTTTCTGTGTCCTATTTTGCCTCCCTTTTGGTTTTTGTTCAATGTTTTCAGTTTGCCTTTCTTCCTCCTCCTCCTCCTCTTCTGCTGCAGCTGCTGGCGGTTGTTTTTTTTTGCTCCTTTTTGATGACTTGGCTACTGGTTCTTCCTTTGGTGTTCCCCCATTATTTGCTTTGGGAGGGCGTCCTCTTCTCCCTTTCTTTGGTGGACTGTTCTGTTCATCTTCACTTTCTATTACATCTTCTTTTAGCCTTTTTTCCTCTTGCCATTGTGTTTCATCAGATTCTGAAACAACTGCAGGTCTTTTTCTTCCCCGTTGACTACCTCTAAGTTTCTGCTCTTGACCCAGTTTATTCAGGTCATCTATGCTTAGTTTCTCTTCTGAATCTGTGATAGTTGCTTTCTTCCTTCCTCTAGGCTTCTCCATCTCTGACTGAAAAGGAAAGATTATATCTTTAAATTAAAAAATTGAACTGCCATATTAAACTGTCACATACACAAAAGCTACAGAAGTTTCCCCCAACAAGACAAAGAGCGACACAAGTTGTCTACTAAGATTGTCTACCATTTCCATTTCAAAAACCTTTGCAAAAGTATAAACGCATATATACATATAAAACACCACACAAGACAGGATTATGATCTCAGAGGTGAGCAGTTAAAACACTGAATTGTGTAAGGTCTTCAGCTGTGTCAAACACAATTGGTTAGAACATCCATAACTGCATTATTATCAACAGGAAAACAGAGAGGATGGGAATTGTCAGCTCTGTTGTGAGCGGCAAGGTGCTTGTGTCTGGCGCCCACACTGGCAGCGTCAATGCACTAATACAGAAGACGATGAGCAACCTGAATTTATAACTGTAGAAGGAAGCACAGGAATTAGTAGTAGCTGCCAAAGCACTGCTGTCAGAGCTGCACTAAGACTCAACATCTGCTCTGCGCAGCAAAAATCCCCACCCAACTCTTCAAAGAATCATAGAATAATTTGGGTCGGAAAGGACCTCTAAAGATCATGTCTCTCCAACCACCCTGCCACGGGCAGAGGCATTTATCACTAGATCAGGTTGCTCAAAGCTCCATCCAACCTGACCTTGAACACCTCCAATGATGGGGCATCCACCGCTTCTCTGGGCAACCTCTACCAGTATCCTACCACTCTCATTGTAAAAAATTTCTTCCTTATGTTCAGTCTAAACCTACCCTCTTTCAGTTTAACACCATTGTCCCTTGTCCTGTCACTACAGGCCCTGGTAAAAAGTCTGTCCCATAAGCCCTCTTTGTATATTGAAAGGCTGCAATAAGGTCTCCCTGCAGCCTTTGCTTCTCCAGGCTGAATATCACCAGCTCTCTGTTCTTCCTCATAGGAGAGGTGTTCCAACCCTCTGACCACTTTTTGTGACTCTCCTCCAGACTTGCTCTAACAACTCTGTGTTTGTCTTGCAGTGGGGACTCCAGAGCTGAGCACAGTTTTCCAGGTGGGGTCTCATGAGAGCAGAGTAGAAAGGGAGAATCACCTCATTTGACCTTCTTTCGATGCAGCCCAGGATGTAATTGGCTTTCTGGGCTGCAAGTGCACATCGCTGGCTCGTGTTCAATTTTTCATCCACCATTGTCCCCAAGTCCTCAGCAGAACTGATCTCAATCCCATTCATCCCCCAGCCTGTACTGATCCTAGAGATTGCCCCAAGCCAGGTGGAGGACCTTGCACTTCGCCTTTCTGAACCTTCATGAGGTTCACATGGGTCTACTCTTCAAGCCTGTCAACGACCCTCTAGATGGCACCTTGTCCCTCTAGCATCTCAAGAAAGGTAGAACCCTTTCAGAACAGAAACTATTCCTTCACCTCTAGTGAAGCTCTAGTTCTCTAGAGTGCACAGTAAAGAGCCATAAACAGTGCAAAGATTTCAATAAGCAACTATTAAGGTCAGAAGTATTGCTCCAACTAAATCTTACCGCAGGGAGAGCGGGAAACATGTACTTACCTACCATTTCATGAGGACTATGACTATTTCATTTTGGACCATGAAATGGTCCAAAAGTCCAAATACTTACAGTATTTCAGTTTCATACCAATGTTCAACTAACATTACTGTATTTCAACACATACACTCATTTATTAGTGTTTGCCACATTGCAATTTAATCTACATAATGACAGTCATGCCACTTAAAATCAGATTGAATTTTTTTTTTTTTTCCACTTCACATGTCCCTTGTGAGATAAGGCAGAAGTCAGCTGACAAATATGTGTCTCTACTTTATCTATAAACCTTGGTCAAGAAAAGCTGAAAGAAAAGCTATAAGGGATATGAGGAAAAAAAGTAAAGAAACTGAAGGACATAGAATTACACTAGAAGAAAATTAAGAAAAATGTTTGAACGCTGATAACATCTCCTGCAAGTTCGTGACTTCAGTGACAAAACTGTTCATCTAGATCAGTGACACCCATGTATTCTCTTTTCTATTTGTTTTTGCAGTGATTGTGCATCTGTCATTACAGCCACTTATACCAGGTGTAAGTAGGTGTATCCAAGTTTCAAACTAAACTTTCTCCCTCGGGTTAAGCAGCATCCCACAACCTTAGAACTAACATGTTACTCTATGATGTAATCTGGACAAATATCCTGAATGATGATATTTTTAAAACACGGACTTGATAAAAATTCTGCTTCTCAGTTAATGCTTGCTATAATCTGCTCCCCAGCTCCAAAAAAGCAAAACCAAGTTCCAAATCAATGACCTGCTCTAGCAGAATCTACCCCTGTCAATATTACCAATATCCTGCAAATAACTAGTAATCGTGAAAGCTTACAGGAGTTGTCAGTATGATGCAAGTGCAATGTAACGTACACATGAAAAACAAACAAACTGAACCATTTTTTCACTGCATTTTCATATCCAACTCTAAACATATTTTCCAGTAGTTTACAATATCAACTCAGTTGCATGTTTCAGCATATTTTCTTGAATGATATGAAGTGCCACCACACTAATTTTTATTTTAAAGTGACTTAAAATGAAACATCTGCAGTGCAAACAAACAGCTCACCCTTACAAGATCAGAGTCGTCCCTTTTGTCAGTTTTCTTCCCTGGTAAGGGTGAAGCCAGTGTGAATTCTTCATTTTCACTGTGGTCCATTTCAGTGCTGTCAAGCCTATAATGAATAAACATTTATTCTCCTCATTATTATAACACAGTGGGCAATCATTTAAAAAGAACACATTAAGAATAACAATCTTCAGAAGAGACCTATTCCTAAACCACGAACAATGAACCTTTCACTCTGGCTACTATAGCCAACACATATCATCAGCTAGAATATCCAAGTCTCAGGACAAAGGTGTCAATCGTAAGCCAAGTTGAATTTTCTTTTTTTCACTGGGAAAGATAAGCAGCTTTTTCAAAGACAGCCTTACTGAGTTTCAAGAGATCTGTGCATTTGTACACATCTGCACACGTTTTCATACACCAATCAAAGATCACCACAGACAGACCAGCCAAAGCACCCTTTCCTATGGTGAGGTTTAGGCAATAAAAAAGCAGATTTAAATTTCAGAGACCAGTTCATCCCTCAGCTTTCTGTTGTTAATTGAGGGCAGTAATTTAATTTTTATTTCAGTTTCTACATATGTAAATGTGGACACAATGATACCTCCTGCATATGTAAAACACTGAGACTCACAGATAAAAGGTAATATACAAAAGCCAATACACAAGTCACTTCATTTCATTTACCCTGGGGTAGGTAGAAGCAACACCTTTAAAAAACAGTGCATGCTTTCTCAAGAAAGGAAACATGCTAGCCTGAAATGAATAGTGGTATTCAAATAGACAGAATCTTAAGCCCCTGGCCTGGGCACTGCACAGACTGAGAAAGATGTTCTCATTCCTACAAGCATAAAATCTGTAATAACTGTGATGTAAATCAGAAGCTCAGTTTTTATACATCGTCTTAACAGATGCAAGCTTGCCTGTATATATCCAGTTAGCCTGAACTGGAAATACCATGCAGACTGAATCATTACCATCACTTCTAGAGGACTCTTCTTCTTTCGTATCCCCACTCAAAACACTAACCAGTTTAACTTAGGTGAACTGGGGAGATCATGAAGATGACAAAACATGTCAGGCTGTGAGTGCAGCTATTTTTTTTTTTTAAATGAACTGGATGTAGAACAGTATTGGTGTCTCATTCATTTCACTGGATATAGAGAAGAATCTGGATTCCAATACACCTTTAGCCAAGAGTATATTTCAGCACATGAACCTGCATGACTTGTAAGAAATAAGTCTTTCTGTGGACTTTCCATGGAGTTGAGAAGTATTTCTTGTAAAACACTGCACTACATTTAAAATTAATACAATATATTAAATAGTCACAGCAGTAGCAAATGAGAAGCCTTATTTCCAAATATAACATTTCCTCACAGTCCTGAAGTAATGTGAGAGAAGAGGAGTAAAGTGAGATAAGTAATGTGAGAGAAGAGGAAGGCTATGCAATCTCTAAACATCAGTGAAAAAAAATAATGATAATATGACCTTCAGTTAAAAAATGAACATAAGACTATACAGTAGCTGGTGAATAACCCAAAAAATTGACAGAAAATAAGCTATAATTATTAAAGACGGATAACTAGAAGACTTATGTAGCATGACGGGACATTCCCCTCTCCATCACAGAAGGAATCTAAAATCCAAAAACGTTCATCTGCAAAGTCCAACAAATTACAGGACTAATTTATAGAGGAGGAAGTCATGCAAGATCACCACAATGGCCTACCAGTCCTCACTGCCTACGAAGTGTTAACATTACAGAAGGCCACAAGGTTCCCAGGAACTGCAGATATACACACACACACACATATATATATATACACGTGTGTATATACATGGCAGGGGGTTGGGTTATATATATATCTCTCTCTCTCTCTCTAACATGCAATAAACATATGAGGCTCCCCTTCCCTCCTACAGCCAACTCTGGATGCGATTTGATTCTAGTTTTAATTTTGTTTTAAAAGCAAATTTATTTCTGGGTTTAGAAAGTCAAATTAATTGTTTTGGTAATAGCAATGTGGTACTATAGCTTTACTTCAAAACAAGATAATAGAATTCTGTTTCTCACTTAGAAAGAGAGATTCAAAGTTTCCATTATAAATACTTGAAATATCAAAGCTCCTTTGTTGTCTACCAACCTTCCTTTGATCCTTCCTGGAGAGCTTGGATTTGAACTGCTGCTGGCATTGCTTACAGTTTCCATTCGTGAAGATTTGGATTGAGACTGCTTGCCTGCTGACGAAAGAGGCTTATTAACTGCTCCAAGAACATTGGCTGCTTTAGGCTGAAACCAAAAATATATTTCCTTTATTTTAAGCTACACGTTTAGATATTGTTAACATGTACTATGCTTAAAATAGTCACAGATTTCACTTTCTGCAATCAATATCTTAACTTTAACACAAAGCAATAAACATTTTCATATGGAAGTTACAACAGACACCAGAAGGAAGCTGACAAAGCTGTAATGAAATAGCTAGCCGCACCAAAAAGGGTATTCTTCTCCCTACCCTTATATTCTGTCCTCTTCTCATTGGTAGTACTAGGTGCTCACCTGACCTAGTAGTAAGCCACTCCAGCACTTTTTGTTCATTTTATTTTCTGCTGATCTAGCTGCCTGAACCAGCTCTCCTTTTGGATCAGACGAGCATTTGTACTGGCAGTAGGACAGCCCTTTCAGCAAAGCAGCCATTAAGCTGGCTTCACTGTAATGGCAAACCACACTAGTTTCAACTGGGAATGAATGAGAATCTCAAAAATCAAATACTGTGGAGAAGATTCTGATACTTCATGCACCAGATTCAGAAGTGTCAGGCTTTTAATAGGTGTCAAAATTTCCAGATACTGGTGAGCTTCAGGTCATTCGTTTAAGTGGTTATCTTTCACACAGGTCAAATACCTCCAGCTCATACTACTTTTTGAGAACTGAAAGAGTTCAGTTAACTCCTAAAAATCATACATCTTTATGCCAAACACCCATGTATAAATATGTTCAATTCAAGATCATACCCTACATTTCTCATTATCTAGGATGATTCATCTTCTATTTCAATATTAGATTCAAGTTCTGTCTAAAGTTAGTGACAGTTGAAAAAAAAGTTCAACATGTACATCCCAGCAGCTTTGAGTGTTCTTTTTCCAGAGATATGCACCATGGATGTGTTGGTTACGCTTTCATAGCCAGAGGGAATTTTACGCTTACACCAAAGATTCACTCTGCACTGCGCACAAGAAAAACAGCATATCCTTTCCAAAAATAAATCTTGCAGAACAAAATCCAGATTAAGAATTTACATCTGTTAGTTTAGAACTTAATGTTAATCAATAAGCAAATACAGAAAGAACTCGAGAGCACAGACGTTCAAATTCACACTGGACTGGACTTCCTACTAAGGAGACCTGCACTAACAGCTCCTCTCTTACCGCAGAACCTACACTCAAAGCCTTGCTGCCCTCAGATACTGTTCCCTGCTTATATCCACCCCACTAACATCCACTCAAGCTAGTCTTCCATTCACAAAAATAAAGACTCCCTACACCAACTCTCATTTCACATTGCTCTCATGATGGTGAAGCAACTGATAAATTTTTGGTGGTCAAACACACCTCTGCTGTTTGTTACAAAATTTCAGAACAAGAAAGGAGCTAGAGTACCTGGCAATAGAAATTTAAAATAATATAAAAGCTACCTTAGGATTTAAAAGCATTCCAACTAGGATATACGAGAGACATGGAGCTACTGGAGAGACTCCAGAAAAAGGCCACTAAGATGAAGAAGGGATGGGAGTGTTACTCATATGAGGAAAGTCAGAGAGCAGGCGCTTTAGACTAGATGACTTCCAGAGGTTCCTTCCAACCTCAAACATTCTGTGATTTTTTTGTGATAGCATAAACCATATTTCTGTTTAATATTGTCATAGTACACTTCATACAGTAAATTTGGGACAAACTAGCAAGAATGTTTTATGTCAAAAACCGGATGAGAGAACTTAGTATTGCCTACTGATCAAAAATTGGAAGACACACAACTTCCTTTTGAGAACTTTGGCATCTTTAGTAAGAAGTGAATCCCTAATCCATGGAGTTCAAACACTCAGATGCATAATACAGTGATGATACATTCCAATCAGTAAACACTGGCTTTCAACTTCTAATCAAAAAGATGCTCCTGTATGTACACATTTTTTCCTAACTTACATTCCTCCTCTATTAGTAAGTTACTACCTCACAGCTACTGCTCGATTAGCAAAGTTAAGGGTAATGGAGATGCTGTGCTTTTATTTCTTTTGCAAGGTAACAAATTAACGTTCTCCTGTAATACAGAACAGGATACATTAATCCAGATGAAAACTACAATTTGTCTTTTCCTTTACTAGATTTTAATTTTCTTCTAAACAGTACCTGGGTTTAGTTTTAGCAAAGAAAGAACATTGCCATTCAATACAAAGTGTATTTAGAAAGAACAAATTAAAATAACCATAGAACAGTCAGTTATCTTCTACGATACTGTAAAACGGTATTCAGGTTTGCCAAAGATTAATTTATGTGATTTTTAAAATCATTTGTATTAGAGTTTTCTGTAGCTGTCACTTCATATGCAATATTTAGACTTCTGCAGAAAGGAAGGTCAACCATTTTGCAAACTTGTAAAATATTATGGCGGGTTTTTTTGGACTCTCTCTTTTTAAAGACAAGACACTTTGCCTAATATAACCACAAAGCCAGCATAGACAGTAGCAGTCTTCCCTTCCACCTATGTCTTTTTCTGTTTACTAACCTTTGGCATATCAACCCTTTGGGCAGAAACTATTTATTTTCTTAAGCTTGAAGTGTTTTGTTAACAACATGTTAGCTTTCTTTAAAAGAAAAGCAAAAATGGCACCCAAACCAACCCCACTATCCCATACATACCTTTCCAGGAGTGAAAAAAGACTTCATTTCCGGAGGAAGATAATTTTTGGTGTTACTGAAATTCTGTAAAGGGTGTCGAGGAGGGGAGAAAAATCACAGCAATAATCAATGAACAAGATATTTACATTTTGGAGGTAGTACTGAAAGATTTTCTTTACACGCTTTTGAAATTTTAAACCTGAACAACAATATCTCGGCACAGGGGGAGATATACGTGTGCGTATACATATATAAATATTTATGAAAACATATACATACATATTTTTCAACTACATTCTAATAGGGAGAAGTCTGAAGTTACAAGAACCATTGAAGAAACCCCTGAATTACAACTAGCAAAGATTTAAACAGACTTATCTCAAGAAAAATTTAATGCCAAGGTATACCTTGTCAGGTTGAGTAAAGTATCTGGCTGGAAGTACAGGGTCTTTAGGGGATTCCAAACTGTATGTTGTACTCTTTGACATGATGATATTCATTGCTACATCACAGACTGTGTATAGTTTCTGTCAATAATAAAATTAAAAAAACCCCAAACAACACTTTAGAATTTTATCGAAAATCTTACAAAAGATAGTATCTTTTGAGCACAGAACCACAAGAATTCACGGTTTAAAAGCAATCTTCTTAAAACATTTAACACCAACTTGCATCTTAAACAGTGTATCGCAGGGTACCAAAATATAGGAGCAAAAGACAAAAGCACTGCAGGCCTGGCAGTTGAAGAGAGCTAGCTTTCATGCTCTTTCTACACTGAAGAATAGTGTACACCATGGTTTCAAAGAAAGATAAATAAATAAATAAATAAGAAAGTCTCATTTTTGTGGAAAAAGCAGGAAAGTGACAAATCTGTGCATTACGTGATGCAAAAACCTCAAAAACAAGATCACAGTTTGATACATTCGCTACACAATACACACTGGAGACATCTAATGCATGTGTTTTTCTTCCTATACTAAACTTATTGTTGCACTTTTGAAATGAAAAATTACAAAGCACTTTAGTGGATGATTTAAACAGTAAAAATTATAGCTTACATATATTTAAAGTTAGCATTTAATAATCTTACTGAGAAAGAAACAGAAGGACTTCAAATTATTACAACTCCCTTGCAAACGTGCAAGATCTATTGAGGCATAGGAAAATAACTGTCATCTAAACTATAATAAATATAATAATTACAGTATACATAGTATCATCTCCCACATACAATTCTATTGAAAGACATTTTAAAGCTGGAGTATGAACAAAAAGCAACCCATTTCCAGAAGCAGGCCAGAATTAAATGCAATTTCCAATCAAAAAGTATCACCTACTTCATTCATTTTTTGATCATCTGGTCCTTGAGCATCCTTAGTCTGTTTGATATTTTCTACCATTTTTCTGATAAACGCGTGACTGTTGTTTTCATTTTTAGCCATCAATATTTCCAGTATGAACCACAGGCACCTAAAGGAGGAATGCAGTACTCTTCATAAATAAACACGCAAAAGAAATTCTTTAAAGCAGCACATCTGAGAAAGCAGTTTATTCTAGGTTTTACTAGTATTATGAATTTGAACCAGTCTAACTCTGGGAAACCAATACTTTAGAAAAAAATTAATGAAGGTAGGATGAGCAGAAGGTAAAGGTTCATCTCTAAGATATCACAGAGCACTAAAAAAAGCATATATACTATTCCTCATGATATTTTACAGAAATAACTGCCATCGTTATGTGCACTGGACAGTGTATCAGAGTACCGCAATGAATTAAAATTTCACTTAGAATAAAATTAGATTGTTTTAACCCTAGAAATAACACTTTTAAAAGTAGTCTTACTCTTTAATGTCCTTGAGTTGCTCAATGTCCTGGACCTTGACATAATCTGGGTCATGAGCTAGAAGATGGATAGTATAAGGAACAACATACTCTGGTAGAAGTGACAACAGTTTCTCTGAAAAGCAGAAGAAAGATGCATCAGAAGACTACGTATCAAGAAATATGCTTTTCTACTACAAAGGAAAGAGCAAAATTTAAGGTCCGTATACATTAAGATAAAGCATAGGCACACGTGAGTCTATCATTTATTTATAATGTTGCATCTCATGGTTGATGTGCAGATGTTTCAGGTACGCAAAATTTAAAATTTTAATTATCTCTCACTCAGGGTCACATATTTTCTAGCTACCTTGAGAATACAGCTACAGTCATCCCCTACTCCAAATCCTTTCCTCAGTTCAAAGCTTGCATTCTGAAATACTTTGAAAAACAGAAGTGAGGACAGATCACAACATCCAGGTTAACTTCAAGATGTGAGACCACCACCATTCCAGGATAAGCTACTATTCTTTCTTTGGACATTGTAGCATCAACAGAACAGAAAGAAATGCACTTTGCAGTCAAATTGCTACAATGTTCTCCAAACCCACAGCCTACTTACCTGTTTAAAGAAGGGATTAGGAGGTAACATAAAAGCTATAACCAAGTAGTGGCCTACTCAGCTCGAAAGGCTCAATCCCACTTGAACAAAGCAGCACAACTCAACTATGACATTCAAAGCATTCAAAGCTTTTTCTAGCATCCTTCAAGACTTTTAAGTAGTCCTAGGCAAGGACTACAGGAGAAAGTCTTTCCTACGTCACAACCATCAGATGGCCTATTTTCCTTGGAGATCCAAAAAAATAAGGATTGTTGTCAAAGGCCCTCTCAGAGTTATGATCACAAAATACACATTCCATAAGGTAACAAACAAACTCCTGACCTAGCCAACACTATGCAGAGTGGACTTCAGCATCAGTTTGATGACAAAAAATCAGAATGAAAAAGGTCACATTGCACAGGGCAAGGACAACAAAAAGACAAGTTGTACACCAGAAGTCAAAAAGTGTTTTGCAGAAAACGTCCACACTGCTTTCTTTAGCCTACTGACTGAGAGGAACTGGAGGATGCGCAGCACACCTAAGTTACTAAACCTGTACCCTGTGCAACAGGCAGGACAACAACCAAGGAAGGCATGCTGGTATTCTATATATACTACTGTGGTACAAGAATCTGATCTTGAGTGCTTGTGGCAAAAGCAAAGTCATTGTATTAACATGCCTATGGATAAACAGTTGAATGTACGTGTGAAGGAAGGAGGGGAAATTCCTGGTTCTGCTTTTGAAAGAAGAAAAAAAAAAAAAAAAAAAATCACATTTTTGAGCTAGTGAGTGTTCATGAAAGACATGACCATGTCCGGAAAATCTTCCTCGGCAAGCTTTTAACTATCTCATATTAGGTTATGAAGTCCAAACATCTGTAAATCATTATACATAATAATATGTGAAAACTATTTTAAAATACATTATAACATTGACATTTTTATCTCTAATATATGTATTCATAAGAAGTGCTTGACAAATACTGTGCACATCAAATAAAATACATCATTATTGTAGATTTCACAAGACTGACTAAATAATTGCCATGCAAACGTCAACTCATACTCAACCTCTCCCATTCTTAAAGGTCTGCATAAATAGGGATAATGCACAGCCTACGTAAAATATTTGGATTCATTCATAACAGCAAGGAAAGCGTTCAAAATTGATAAAGGCTCACAGAAGATAGTGCTGCCAGGTTCCAAGGATACGCTTTCAGACTGTCATTGAGGTTGATGCAGTCAATTATCAAGAGTAATATCTCTACTACATAGACTGTGAGTCATCATATGGTTTAAAAGAAACAATAAAAATCACCCGATTTCTTTCTATTTTGTTATATTTATGTAATTGAAATCCAGTGTACTTTGCAAAGCAGTTTTTAATATGTTTCAATTGACATCCCAGTATTAACTTTAAAAACATCCTTCAATGTTTCAAGCACAGTCCTGCAATTTTAGCCAGCAGCTGTTTGTGTAACTAAATAAAAAAAAAAAAAAAGATGTGGCAGGGAAGAAAAAGAACATAATTATGATTTCAGAAAACTAGCAAAATCAACTTGCCTTAGACATATCCCAGGCAAACCAACTCGTTATTATTTGTATTAATTAGCAACTTCAATATAACGTTCATCAAGAGCTCATGAACTCAGTGTTTCATTAGCTTCCTGCCTTGTACAGTTTCTAATATAACTATAGCAATAATTCCAGCTGGGTCTGGAAAACAAGGTGAACCACATCCAGAAAAAAACAGGAAAAGGAGAAATATTGATACATATTATATTTAAGCCCTGTCATGACAAAAAGTGGTATTTACGCATCCTTTCCTCATCTTGATCGAAGAAAGACACAATCCGAAAGGTGGGGTGGCTTTATGGACATGAACTACCAGCACTGGAAAACAGAATGTGCCAAAACCCCTCATGACGTGCCTTTATGAGCATGTAGGAAAGAAATTTGTTAAAAAAAAAAAAAAATTGATCTTTACTCTTGTAATTTTTCCACTTACTGACTCGCAAGTAAAAGCCCAGCCTTGGAAAACAAAGATTCCAATGCAAGACACAAGTGTCTCTACCCAGACAAAACTAGTAACAGACAATCAAAATAAGTCTCCTCTTGAGTGGCTTCCACTCTGAATAGCATTTAGAGAATTTAAGAGCCTGTAAAAAGTCAGTGTGGAGGAAAGAGGTATTTTACTGCAGTCCTTAGGAAGTTTTCCTTAGGTAAAGTATACAGAAGTTTACCATCTTTCCAACAAATGCTGAAATCCCCCAGAATATCTGAAAGATATCCTCACCTGTACCAAGTTTTCAAGAAAAAAACACATCACAAAAATCACACGTTTATAGATCCAGAAAAATAGCTGCATTAAAGATGCAGATTCTTAGCTTTAGTTTTTTGTGGAAGCTTTGCAAAGGAAGTACTATCATCATTACTAACCTGAGTTACTGCATGCCAGTAGGGAGAATGTCAGGAGACACATACACATTTAAATGGCATTATTTTACCAGAACTGAGCTTCAGCTGTACTACTACTGCAATAATGATTTTTTTAAGATGTAAACAGCTCAAGACATTTTATTTGTTAAAAGCTCAGACGGGTAAATCTGAATGTCACAAAGTTAACATTGTAATCTTCAAAAAATCCTGCAATCTATATTTAATCCAGACTCCTCACAGATTAGAGTACGTGTCATATCAATGGTATCACTAAAGGTAAGTCTTTCAGCAAGGAAGAAAATCGTCAGGCACACTTTGAGGCCCTACTGGATAAAAAGAATCACACACACCTAGGCTCTTCTTCCTTTCTTCTACAGATTTGTGATAGTAACTTTGCAGCATCTAATTTAATACAGTTAGGAAATCAAGCAACTACTTGTAATCATATGAGAATTCTTATACTTTCCTCCTACATAACTAAAAAGTGCTTTCAGCTTTCAAGAATAGCCTTAGGATGACTTAAAGGCATTTGCTCAACGGATTTTTCTTTTTTACGATGTTACTGAGGAGGGAGAAAAGCACTACTCTTTTGTCTTTAAGTCTAATTAACAATACACAAAAGGATTTCTCTGCAGGCTTGTTCGGTGATCAAAGTCTAAGGGGACTAAGGCACACACAGACTGACATGGCTAATATAACGTCTGTCATTCATAAATGCAGAAAGAAATCAGTTAGATATCTGACAGCACCAGTGAGATCAGATTCACAAAACAGGTCTGGTCTATCCTAAAATGAGATGAAAGAATCCCCTTCATTTCAAAGGCCAAACCATCAGGAATCTTTCAAAGAAATGAAACTTTCTAAAAACTCTTATTCGAAATGCCCAAAGCTCTTCATAAAGGTCTACTTTTTTCCTATGAACATATACCAGTGTTGTCATACTGTATGTGCGCAGCTTCAAGTAAGTCAAAAGGACTGATTTTATAAAGGAAAAACAGCCAACATTAGTTAATAACAACTTACAAAGCATTCCCACAATCAAACTGCTGTCACTGGGAAGAAAAAAATTACACAAACTCATCCTGAAGCACTTAAAAATACAGCCCTTCGCTGTAAGACGACATGAAGCTACTCAATACAGCAGCACAAACACAGTCAATTTAGTACAGCATTTATGTCGTTGAAGTTGCATATTATTAATTACTGAAGTAAAATTAATCATTGTCACTTCACTTAGAACACAATTAATCATTAAGTTCAAACAGTACACAAAACTGCCTTGAAAACTACTTTAATTCCAATATACTTAGGCATAAGCATTTTCACAGCTTTTAAGAAAATTGAAAGATCTCAGAAACGCCTATTAAAAATTTCAAAAGAAAATCTGGACTCTTATCTTCAGTTTTCATTAGATATCGCTAAGTGAAATTTACAGCCATTCAATGCTTAAAAACAGAAAACTGTCAATATTTTCGCAGTCTACTCACATTCACATTTGAACTATAGCACTTGTACCAAAAAGCTACTTCTATTCTCTTACCACTAACTGCTGCGTGTTGCTTCAGATACTCCCTTCTGACATTTATGTTCTTCACAAGGCACTGCCTAGCATGAGCTCTTCTCTCTTTCACCGGATCTTTTGCACACAGTGCACAAATAGCCATATATTCTAGTGGCAGCCGTAGTCTAGAAAGGCCTTTGTGAAGTTTCTGAGCAAATATTTGTCTCACTTGGTAACATTCATCCTAGTAAAAAAAAAAAAAAAGGTAACAGTAAACTTTAAACTTTTCTAAAAGTAATACAGACTGCAATAAAACATGAAAGCCAAGGTAAATACATCAAAACCAATTTCAGGTCACAGAAACACAGGAAATGTAAGAATGTTTTTTAATGCAAATTCAGAGCAATTAAATTGAATTAATCAACTGAAGCTTCCCTTAAGATCAAGAGAAGATTTAAGGTTCAAAAATATTTTAGCATAGTACTGAGGCATGAAGTTAATGAAATTATTTACAACAGGACCAATTGCTTTGTGGAGCCAAAGTCAAAGATCTGTACAGAAACAGTGTTTAGCCACCAGTAACTACTGTGTTGATTTTACTGCTGTGATTTCACAAATTCTCATCAAGCCATCAATATTAGAAACCAAATACAATTCAACAGAATGACCAGATAAGATAAGGTAAAATGCTGTAGAGAATATCAATCATTTCCATTATACTGTGGAAACCTATGAACTATGACTGACCACGGAAGAGAATAACCCATACGTAACAGTTACCAAAGAAAACAAAGTAAAATAATATGAAGGTGGCAAATATACTTCTGCAATTTATTAAGCAACGTATTTCCAGAAAAGATATGGACTTGAAAATTCTCTGTATGAAAATAACGTACATACTTTAAGACACCTTCCAATATACCACAAGCCATTTAGTAGCACAGGCCAAGAAAGGTTAACAGAAGCAGGTGCAGAAAACAGTTACGAGAAAACCTACAGAAAAGCACAAGGTGAACAAGGCCACCAAAACAGCTTGGCATATTTAACCTGCCAAAGAAAGGTCAAGAGGAAGTATTTGTTATCCTAAATATGAAGAAAAAACATGAACAAGAATAAACAGCTACTTTAATCAAATGACAGTTTTGAAACCAGAAGGAACTGAAAAGGGTTATCAGTTACCAGTCAACAGGAAGCGCAGAGACAAAACCCGGCCACTCGTAACATCGACTCTGTTAAATTCGCAAGTGGCATCAAAAGAGATCATGTATTAGATAAAACAAGCCTCCCTCTCCCTCCATCCAAAAATTAAATTCAGAAGAAATTAATCAAGCCCCATTTTCCCTTCTGTGCTTCAAGCCATAGTCTTCCTCTATGGACTGAAACCCTGACATGCCTCCTGTAGTCAAGAGTTGAAGCAAACCAAAACCGTAAACCCAAACTGTGAGACCTACTCAAGATCTATTGTCCCTTTATAGCGAATCTCCCCTCAGCAGAAGGCTAAGATATAGTCGTCTTCTCCTGCTCAGTATCACCGCAGTCTAAAGCCCTTGGAAAGCTTAGAAGAGACCTGTGCCTAGTCGGTACGTCAACGAGAAGCATGTCCTCCTTGACTCAGAGGACAAAGGAAGGTATAGTTCATCGTTACTGATGGTGTTGTGTCGCACAGATTGGAATGATTTTTATTTCTTTATCTTTTAATATTGAGAATAACCTTAAATTGAGCTCAGTTACACTAGTTCACTGAGAAGAAGGGAGACCAAACTCAACCAAGTTCTACATTTTATAGCATACCAATAAAACCATACAGTAGCTCAATTTTATGTATCTACTTCTCTGAATTGAACGTAAATTCATCAAAAGTTCACCATTTTAAAGTATTTTAAAAAAACAACTATTTGCAAAGCAGCATGTAACCCTCAGACACAACTCATTCTTGAAAACAGATGGAGGCTTGCTTAAACAATTAAAACACTGAGAATTGACAAAAGGAAATTGAAAAAGCTTTAAAATTTTTTTTAACAAATGAAACAGTCTAAAAGATTTTTTCTAAATACTATTAAAATTGCATTTTCAACAGCAAAGCTCATTAGATCTTAAATCTAGTCTTAAAGCCTGTTAAACATTGAAGTACTTAACACTATGCTCAATTATTTTCTACTCTATTTCAATAGGAAGCTCTGCTGACATCAAAATTTGTTCTGCAGATCAAAGAACTTAAATGCTGGCGAGCTTACAGGTTTAGCCAAAGACATACCTAATTCATTTTAAAATGACTAAAACTACTTGTATTTAATCATCACAAAGTCCCCGTTAACCAGTGCGACCTTAATACAGCAATTAGCAACAACACTTAAGTATGTATTCTGCATTCTAATCTTTTCATATCACAAAATGGCAGTGTCAGAGAAAAAAAAGAATAGCACAGAACCACAGCAGAACCTGTACAACCACTGCAGACCTTTAAAATTAAGCTCTTCCTTTGTTCAATCTGCTTCCTGATCTGTCCACTTAAAGAAAATTTGCTATAAATTAAATTAGGTAATACTAGAGTTGGCCTTGACGTCACTTGAACGTCCTAATTTGTGGCTAGACTTGGTAGTGTTAAGAATAAGTAAACTTTTAAAATAATCAGTGTCTACCATCAAGAAATATTCCATTCCAATACTAAACATTCTAAGCATAAACACATACGTATGTGCACATGCAAATATCTCAAAAACAAACACACAGATAGTTTTCATAGGAGATGAATACCATAGACTCACAAGTGCAAAAGTCACAAAACCATTACAGTTACTCTGCATCTGAGGATCTGAACTCAACAGCCTGGCAGAGAGAAAGGAAACTGGAAGATCTCAAGATCTAATAAAGTTATTCATAAACACTGAAAATCCATTAGGAGCTGCAGAGAAAAGTGAAAGCAGAATTCCTGTCATAGATTCATAGATTTCTAGGTTGGAAAAGACCTTAGAGATCATCGAGTCCAACCATCCCTAATCCCCATTAAACCATATCGCTAAGTAGATCATCCACCCTATTCTTAAACACATCCAGGGATGGGGACTCAAC